ATCTGCATGGCCTTTATGGTCCACTTTTCTATCAGCATTCTGCTTGCCACCACATAAGTCTCTAAGACATTCCAAACTTTCTCTTGTCTTTTTCTCCTCTTCTAAGTCCTCCAAACTCCTCCAACCTTTGCCCATTACCCAGTACCAAAGCTGCATCCACATTTTCAGTTATCTGTTTAGCAACACCCCACTCCTAGGTACCAATTTTCTGTTTTAGTCCGTTTTGTGTTGCTATAACAGAATTACCTGAGACTGGGTAATTTATAAAGAAGAGAGGTTTATTTGGCTTACAATTCTGGGACAGCTGCATCTGGCATGGGTCTTAGGCTGCTTCTACTCATGGCAGAAAGTGGCAGGCAGCTGGTGGGTACAAGCAGATCACATGGCGAGAGGAAGCAAGAGGGCGTCATCTCTTTAAAAAAGAAAAAAAAGAAAGAAAAACAAACAAAAAAAAACTATTTTCTCTTATCACCGGCTGAATAAATTGAAAGGAATTTGTTTTATAACTTATACTCTCTGCTGAGAGAGAGAGAGAGAGAGAGAGATTTTTCGATTTTTGTGGGTTTTAGAAGGCTTAAAAGAAGTGGTTTTTGTTTGTCTACTTTCAAAAGAATAGGGGAGGGAAGGGAAAGAAAAATGGGAAAATTTGGAAAGTGATGTGATAGTGAGTGTGATGAGAACCACTGCTCCTAATTGTGTGTGGCATTCCTTGGAAACCTCTGTACCCATATCAGTGTAAATCTGGTAAATTTTCATTTATTTCCTGAGACTTTGTGACTCTATTAGATTATTGGTTGGTTTTTATTGGCCACTTTGTTGCCTGAAGGTAAATTGCTGTTATACTTCCTTGGCAGGCTAGGGAGCAACTTCTGACAAAGATATCTAGTAAGGTAAACAGGCTTAGTCTAGCCAGGGAAACAATTGTTACTTTGCTTTGAGGAAGCCTTTTGAGGAAGTCTTGTTCATATTAAGATTATTGCTGTCAAATTTTGCCATCTTGCCACTATAATATTTTTGTTTTGTTTTGTTTTTTGGTGGCTGGCTGTTACAGGGATCCGAACCTATGACCTTGGTGTTAGAAGGCTGCACTGTAACAAGCTGAGCTAACCAGCCAGCCCCTTTGCCACTATAATAATAATATTGGGTTTTTAATGCTTAAAATTTGTTCTTATTAGCGTTAGTGAAGATATAAAACTGATAAAAATGGGAAATATTTCTGAAAGTGACACATATATTTCTTCTTGGTTAATATGAATAAAGCTATAAAATCTTAATAAATTGTAGAATAGACTTGATAGGATGGCCTTTTTTTTTTTTGCTAAACATAATGGCACATTTGTTCTTTTGGGGTTCTCTGGTCAAACATTGATTGGACAGTTGAAGAAGTACCAACTGGAGTTACTGGGGATTTTAATGGCAAGTAATTACTTTACTGCTCCTGCAAGTAATTCCTGTTACTGTTGGCAGAATCTAAAGTTGAAGTTCCTTTCCACAACCAGAAAAACTACACATTTTACAGTATGTACTGTTAGTTTTATTTTACTAATGATTGGTAATTATGTGTAAATGAGCTGGGCTTCTGGGGCAATATGTGGCATGGGTCTATTTTGGTATAAATACTTAAATGTTGATGTAATAGTCTTGGTTTTAAATAATATAATACCAACACTAAACCTGTAAGATTAGCATGACGGCAAAATTAGCAATTTTGTATGGATGGCATGCTAACTTGGGATAGCTTTTTATTTGTGCTATTATATTTGCATCAAATGCTTATTTCAGGCATTTATGCTTTGCATGCGTTAAATAACAGGGTATATCAATTGTGGGGAAGCAATTAACGGGTTTATTTTTTTCTAATATTTAAAAATAGTAATCCTGGTTTCTTTAGGCAGATGGTACTTTTATACAAAGTAGTTGTAAATGAGGATAGTGATTAGCTGGAGGATGAATCTTTGTCTAGCAGGGAACTGTGAATTCTATGGATTCTGTTCTCACTTGACTTCACAATTCTTTTGTTTGTGCCTTTGCAGGTCAAAGGTACTGTGTAGGTATGACTGGTAGCAACTACTCAAATGCAGAGATCGTTGTGTTTTGAAAGAGATGAGTGTTAAATGAGTGAAGAAATCTTTTTCTTAGAATCACTGTCTTAGAGACAGCATGGTATTCCCTTTTATAAAATTTATAAACATTTGCTGATTTGAATGCTTAGCAATTATAGTGGTAAATAATAGATGGGAAAAATTAATAAGAGGAAGTCCGTGCATGTAAATGTTGGGTAATGGGCCCCATCTGCTACTAAACATACATCTAGAGGGGCACCTAGTAGGTATTCCCTTTTATAAAATTTATAAACATTTGCTGATTTGAAATCTTAGCAATTATAGTGGTAAATAATAGATGGGAAAAATTAATAAGAGGAAGTCCGTGCGTGTAAATGTTGGGTAATGGGCCCCATCTGCTACTAAACATACATCTAGAGGGGCACCTAGTAAGTTTTCTTAAGCTTTGTAAAATTTCTCAGAACAATGTGGTTGTTTTTATTATCCCTTCTCTATGATTAGCTCTATCACTTAAAATACAAAGGGATTTTAAGGAAAGGGAATGCCGAGGGAGTTTCAGGTGAATCAGAACCCCAAAAGGTAGAGTTGATGGTTTCAGTTACCAAGGGTATGTTAATTCCTAAAACGTGTGTAGTAAAGGCTGGAAAGAAAAGCCCTGGACAGTAAATGGATACACAGCCACTCAACTTTGTTTTCATGGTATGTAGTAGTTCAGTTATTTATTTGGCGTAGATGTACAGGTACTTTGGGGCTTGCTATGCATTTGAAGTGATTTTTACAAAAGTGTTTTTAACTTCTGAAACAAATAGAGGTGTTAAGTGGTTTCTAATCAGAGAATAAGGCTTGAGAATGATTGCATAAAGAATGGTTTTAGCTTTGCTTTTTCACTTTTGGTTTCAGATTAACCAGGGTGTGTTGGTTTCCTTAATAAGCTCAGCACAATGCCTGGATTGTTTTAATCCTGAAAATGAAAGCTATTTGTAGTAGTTTGTGGACTTTATTTCATTGGGGTGAGTGTTTGTATGTATTGTTTGTGCACTTAATGTGTGTCTCTTGAAGTAAAAATGGTATCCAGCAGTTCTTGTGATTCTTTCTATTCCATTTTTCACAAAGTGTTAGCCAGTTAGTTTCCTCCCTTTGCAAATTTCATGGGACAATGGGATTATTTGATATTTCTACCCACTGTTCAGCGTCTTTGGGAATAGGTAGTTATTTTATCATTTCCATTATTATTACATGTGATATTCAACAACTTATTTTTTTTTTTTTGGCAGCTGGTCTGTACAGGGATCAAACCCTGGATCCTGGTATTACCAACACCATGCTCTAACCAACTGAGAGCTAACTGGACAGCCCCAACAACTTTTATTTTTGAGTTATCAGTGTAGGAAATGACATTGCAGGGTTTTCAAAGGTGACGAGTGCTCTGTGTAATTCCAACACATCATAAACACTCCACATATATTTGAGGTATAATGAAATACAGTGTTTGCCCTTTGAATTTATATTTATGAAAGGAGAGAAAGGGGTTGACATGGCTGAGGCAAATCCTAGATATTTATAAAATAGAATTTAGAATCAAAGTCACAGTGCAGAGGGGTATTGAGGAGTCTCATTTGGTTGGTGAGTTCAGAAAAACTTAATGGAGGAAGTAGGTAGCATTTGACATGGGCCCTGAAGGGTGGGTAGGATAATCAAAGAATAGTATAACTATCCAAAGAGGAAATATTTATTGAACCCTTTTATAATGTGCTAAATACAGTACCAGACCAGTTACATTACTATATTTAATTACTCTCAAGAAATGTTAACTATTGTAGCCTCAGATGTTGTGTTTATCTAGTGGTTGAATGGATGTTTTTTCAGTGAAACATTATTTTGTTTTCTTAGCCTCTTTGAGGATAATTGTTTGTTTTTCTTCTTTTGCCAGATCAAATTTTAATTGCATTGCTGGCTGTGGGTCATTCCTCCTTTTCTGTGTTGGCCCCTCTCCCCAATTTTCCCTTGACTTAGCCTTGATTCACTTGAAAACCACTTGATTTTGTGGTTTGTTATGATATTTTTCCATGTGCCAGTTCTTCATAATTTCCTTTGTAGGTGTCATGTTGGGTGAGTTATTTTTCCTTGTTGGGCTTTGTTCTCATTATGCAATTCTATATTTAGCTTCTGGGAGGGGAGGTTGTTCCTCTGAATAGAATCACCACTCATTCCTTTTTTTCTCTTTAGTTTTTTAGGTGGTGGTGGCAGCCGGGTAGACAATAGCACATCAACACATTTTGCAGAGGTAAGTTTTCCTTTGGCTGTAGGGATTCTGTAGAAAATGGATGGGTGTTTTAAAATCATGACAGATATTCACTTCCCAGTGTGGCAAAACATCAGAGTTTAACTTAAAAGAAGAAAAATGTGGGCAAGAGTAGCCCTTGGAAAGATCTGTGCTTTCAGTAGCTGGGGCTTTGGCATGTTACCTTTGAGAAATCCTTGATTAGGAGAAAGTGATTGCCTTAAGCTGTACTGTTTTAAACCTGGTAGTGTTTTCAGTTCTGTTTTCTGCTTCTTTATTGTGTATATGGTGTGAAAATATAAACCTTGTACTGTGTTGCAGACTCTGCTTTAGTGGCATGACAGCCAGATAAAAGAGCAGGCCACGATAAGTAGTTATTGAAGTCACAATGAAGTGGTCTTCAACCTTCGACAGAAGTAGTGCTTTCTAGAGTTTACCTCTAATCAGCATGATAGTTTAGTATGATTAAGGATAGGATATTTACTTACCTTTCAGATTCCAAGATGGGACCTGTAATTAATTTCTACTTTATATAATGTGGCATCCATATTTTTGGGGGGTAAAACAAAAATGTTAACTGACTTGAAAATAAAGTATTCGTTTACATCCTTGAATACCAATTTATATTAAATTCAGAGTAATTTTTTCACTTTATCCATTGACCTAAAATCTTCTCTTTGGTTTTTTGACCATTTTAACCATTTTTAAGTGTGCAATTCAGAGGCATTAACACTCCTTGTTTTTAATCATTTAGAGACTGTAGCCCAGAAGGGATAAACCAGCTCAGCCTACAGAAAACTGATTTGCTTTTGCTCTGTATTTGTACCCACTGTTGCCATACTGCTTGCTCAGTTTTAGAAAGCTGACAGATGCTGAAAGAAAAAATATGTTAAATCTCATCAGAATTTCTTTGTGTTTCAAGATCATATTAGCCTTTTCCAGAGATAGCTGAAGGTCTAGAGCTAGCATAATATTTTGCGATTTATTTTGTGTAAATTGAAACTATATTAGCAGTGTATTTGAAAAGTGATATTCAATAAGAAGCCCATAAATACTTAAGCTTCTCTTCTCTGTTGTCTGAAAATTATCTTAAGACCTGTAGCCCCCACATTTTGATGTTGTTAGGTTTATAGTCAGGAAACTTGATGAATGTTTAGGTAACAGTACTATTTTATTAAAGATGTTTTCTTTTGCTTATGGTCTATGGTACTTCCTAATATCTAGTATTAAGTTTTTTGGTTAATTCTGAACTGCCTTGGTAGATGGGTTGATTAGAGTGTGATTCCAGACAGATCATGTCTTTGAATCCTCGTTTTTATTTTTTCATTTTGATGGTCTGAAAAACATTATTTAAATATTATGCTTGCCAGGCCTGGAAACCTTTCTGATTTCAGTATTTTTTTTCCTCTTGTATGTGCTATTCCTGATAACATAGATTGTCATTTACTGATAATGCATATGCAGAAGAAACGTCATTTGATTTTCCTTAAGTCTTAGTAATCTTTTGAGAAATGGAAATAGATTAATCTGTCAGTTTTATAGGTATGAATCACCAGAAGGAGATTCACAGAGTAAGAAGAAAAATAAATGTATGTAGTCAGTTTCCTAACTTTAGTAATGCTAAATCTGACACCAGTGGCATGAACTATCCCTTCAGGTGTTAAAGTAATTTTGCTGAGTCATAGCCTGTGACTTCATGTTCTTTAACAGTGACAGGATTTGTGGCAAGAGTTTGATTATGCCCAGTTTTCCCTTTGTAAAATTCCTTTGTCATCATGCCTGGATATTTAAGTTTTCTCCTTTTTTAATGATATTTTGCACTTTATCAGCACCGCACTCTCCCGAGTGAGCCACGGGCTGGCCCGATATTTTGCACTTTAAAGTTAGAAAAAAGTCTGTCTTTATAGTATTATAGAAGTTGCCAGGGATTTAAAAAAAATAGATAAGATGTATTTATTGAGTGTTTTCATACATAGCACTCTGCTAGAAGTAGGGGCAAGAAGCAGTGTCATGGTTGCCTTGCCTGCAAGGAACTTATAATTTAGTTGGGGAGCAAGGGCAAACGCATATAAAACAAATAAGAAGACAAGAAAGCATACAGAGAGTATAATTAACTTATTGTGGGGTGTATGTAACAACTACAGTAAAAGGAAGAGATCAGGTGGGCCACAGTCTTTAGGAAGAGAGATCATATAACATAGGGGATTAAGAGCACAGCTTCTGGAACCAGATTGGATCTGGATATGCCAATTACTGGCTGTGTTTCCTGGACAAAATTACTTAGAATCTCTTTGTGCCTCTGTTTCCTTGTCTGTAATTGGGGAAAGTAATAATACTTAACTTCATAGGAATGTTGTGAGGATTAAAACAGTTGATATATGCTAGTTGTGTAGACCCTAGTATGCCTGCCATATAGTAGTGAGTGCTTAATAAATTTCAGCCATTATTAAGACTTCATAGAGAAGGTAAAACTTAAACTGGAGCCTTGAAGAGTAGATGAAATTCAGATAAGAAAAGATGTGAAAAAAACTATCTCAAAATAGTGTTCATTGGCTTTAAATTTCTCCATGTCACTGGAGAAAAAAACTTAGAAATAAAATTACATATAAAAATTAAAGTTTTTTTTCTTTTCCATATTTTAGTTGGTAATTTCAACAAAGGCTTATTCTCAGTTTTGCTGTATTTTTCTTTAGCCAGAGCTGCTTACAAGCATGTAAAATAACTACGAAGAGGTTATTTTCTCTAATTTGCATTTATTAATAGCTGAATTCTTAAAATACCAGGCATATTAGAAGAGGCTTAGTTCAAGAAAAAATTTCTGACAAAATCAGTATTTATTTTTTTTGTTTTTAAGTGGGTCTGGGGTGGGGAGATTAAGTGGATTGGGATGAAGAGAAGGTGGGGGGTGGGTTGCCAGTTAAGTGGGAGCAATGTTTAAGTAATGTGTGAGGGTCAGTGGAGAGTGAATCTAAAAATGTTATTAGCAGTTTGTAGAGAGTAAAAACGTTGCTATACTGAGGTTCCTGATGATAACCTGGGGAAGTGAGCCCATAGCTACCTGAGGGTTTAATTGATTACTTGAAAGCTTCTGACCATGACCCTGGTGCCAGCGAAACATCTGATCTTAGAGTCTCAGCTTACCTGAATGGATCACTTCAGTTGCAAGAGTGGCTGTGGCTGCTGTCTCAGATTAGCAGAAAATAAATTAGATGGCTTCCTGGGAAAAAAAACTCATGGGTATACACAAGAGTGCAGACTACTCTGAGCAGTCTAATTTATATTTGTTTAAATAAAATTTGTTTTGTTACATAAGCAAAGCAACATTATAATGGCAACTAAAAAGCTATTGAAAAATACCTTGAGTTTCACTGTCGTAAGAGCTCCTTTTCTCTGTACATTTCATTTTCGAATTTGTTCTGAGGCATAGATACTGAAAGGTATTAGAACATTAAAATTTTTAAAAAATAAAAACCACCTATATCCTCATTGCTTTATTGTAGCTTTATAGATTTATTTTTTTCTTATATGCATGCCTCATAACTGTTTTCATTTGCAATCATAGAGTATACCATATTATGTTTCTGCTTTTTAAAATTTACTTAGTATTGTCATAAATCTTTTTGTCATCTCTCTGTAGTTATAAGAATTATATATTTTATGACTTCATATTCTTTCATGTCTACACTATATTAAAGTATGATCCTGTGTTAGACATGTCTAGTTATATATGATGGTTGAGTATTGATCACACTTCTTCCCTCCACCTCTGAGTCTAGACCATATTGAGAGATAAAACATAAAAGACAGACAGATGGGAATAAAAATTTAGTTTTTAAGGGCCGGCCCCATGGCTCACTCGGGAGAGCTGAGGCTGCGGGTTCGGATCCTACATAGGGATGGCTGGTGCACTCACTGGCTGAGTGTGGTGCGTATGACATGTGCTGAGGGTTGCGATCCCCTTACCGGTCAAAAAAAATTTTTTTTTTTTTTCTATTGAATCATAATTGATTATACATATTTTTAGGGTTCAACGTTGACATATGTTATCAAATCAATATTACTAGCATATATATTGTTACAAATCATACTTATTCTTTATGTGCCTTGTTCAATCTCTCCTCATCCCCTTCTCCCTCCCCCCTCTAATTACCCTAGATTTCTTCTCTCCCTCTGAAAGAGTAATGGTTACTCTTGATTTGTTGCCTAGATGATCTGTCCAATGCTGAGAGGTGTGTTCAGGTCCCCCAATATTATCATAGAGCAGATGCTTCTTCTGTCACTCTGGAATGAGCTTTGTGGAGATAGACATCCTCTTCTTTTCTTTGGTCTCTGCTAGTGACTCTACTTGTGACAGTGCACTCCAGTGGATGGTGGACCATCTGCACAGTGGTTGTGGTGTATAGCCACTTTTGCAGCAGCTCTGGTTATTGTGGTGGGCCACCCACATGGGGTGATGTTTTTGGCATGCTCCTAACCTAGTTGTTGGTGGTGATGGTGGTGTGCCTGTTTGTGGGAGGGGGTCCAGTCCACAGATCCATACCTCAGGACCCTGGGTGGGCCCAGTGCTGCTGGCCATGTGCCTGGTTGTGGGCAGAGGGTCCTCTTCCCGGCTTCAAGCCTCAGGACTCTGGGAGGACCCCATGGCGCTGGTGGTGTCCTCGGCTGTGGGTGGAAGGTCCACTCCCTGGCTCTTTGCCTCAGGACCCCAGGCGGTTGTGGTGCTGGCAGTGTGCCTGGTTTTCCCCCCTTTCTGGCTTGGTAGTCTAGGGACTTCCAGTCCTTCTAGGTGTTATAGGTGTTCTTTGGTGAAATGAGACATTTACTAGTTAATATAAAACTTTGTCTCTGGTTGTGGCTACTCTGTTTCTTCTTTCAGTTCTGTGTTGTATTATTTGCTGTTCCCACCACTTAAACTCTGCACTGGAACTAATTTGTTGTCCTTTGTTTACTTCTCAAGTGGGGGGATTTCCTGTGGGAACCAGTAATTGAGTTCTGTGGTTGAG